CTCATTTAGGTACATTTATTTTATGATATTAGGTACAATCTGAAATTTCCATTTTTCATCCCTGATTCGTACACCGCTGTATTAAATATACATCATTAGAAGCCCTTCCGTAAGGCCTTCAATTGAATGGCTTCTTCTTTCGCTGCCCATAGAAGGTCTTCTAGAAGGGCTTTTATACGACGTACTTCAGAAGGCCTTTTAGAGGAGTTCATTGAGTTTCTCAAAAGTGATAAACCGTTGATAAACTTGATAAAAATGATAAATTAATCATTTTGATAAATGTATAAAGTTCAGCAAAATGCAACCCTTACAGGTGCCAGGTAGTCACTTTTGCTACGAACACATAAAAGCAAATGAACACAATGGAAGAGGTAAGAATTAAACGTAACTAGCCATATAAGTTAAATAATAAACAGTTTCATGCAATTATTTACCAAGGTGAGTTCATGAAAGAAGGCGGATAAACTGATGAATTTAGCAATTTATCCCTTTATCACATTAGATGAAGACCGCTAATGTGTTTTGAGCAAATCCTGACGTGATGGAGCAAAACGGACTTCAGATTCGTGTTCAAAGACCCCACATACATATAAAACACCTGGTCTAGTTTTATTAGCGTTTCATCGATTTTTTTTGTGGTCCTGCGTAATTGATTAAAATTTGATAACGTTCGCCTTGATAACTAGCTTAAACTTTGTACACTTACCGATTTATGAACACATTATACAAGTGTAGAACAGCCCGTTTCTATCGATAAATAATGCCGATTTTGTATCTACCGAAAAATGCAACCTTTTCCTTGCCCTTTACGCACAAACACTAAGAAGAAGGCAATGAGAAAGCAATATTTTTTTGAAACGAAATCGCCATAAGTATGCCAGCGGAAAAATGTATTAATTTTTTCTTGAGCTTCCTTTCAGATACTAAATTTCGAATACTTATAACCCTGGTTCTATTAGAGGCACACATTCAGCTCTGGGGTAGTTTCCAAGAGTATGTTATATAGAATATATTACGTTAAACCCATTTTCAAATACGAAACGGTAAAACAAATATGGTACGCGGAAAAACAGGAAAACTTAGTTAAATTTGAATAATCCAGAATCACTGATGTATTAGCTAGTTGTGGGATTAGAGCGAGCGGGTATTGTTTCAGATCGGATAAAACACTACAGTAACTCTTATATATTTTCTTCTGAAAAATACCCAACAGATATAGCGATTTGGACCATATACTTACGAAACTATGCATAATCACCGAAATCAAAAGTTCCTGGTTGTGCAATAAAATAAAGTTGAATGTAAAAGATGAAACTTCTTTAAAGACTTTATCATTTTTTCGGAAATATTACCAAGAAAAAAAAGCAGGGACGTGAACCGCATGAGAACTTTGGTCGGTTCGGTTCAGCGGTTACAACCCTTTTTTCACTTTTGGGTTGGTCCGTCAAAGCGGTTGTTTTAGTCTTTGAACCGGGGTTTCGGTTCGGTTCAACGGTTTCGGAAAAAAAAATAACGCGCAAGTTTAAGTGTCAAGTGTCTGTCAAATGGGATGGGTTATTATATTACCACATGGTAAACAAACATGATATGGATTACCATATTTAACAAAAAGAAAAAAGTGGATAATTTTATGTATTGGAATTTGGTTAAAGCGAACCTTTAAACCTTTATGAAAAGTGGTTCGGTTTTCAGTTCGGATCAAACATTTGGGGGAACTTTCGACAGGAAAATATTGATTTTAAAGAACTCTTTACCATTTCGACGAAAAGTTGTTTTTTTCCATATAAAACACATGGAAAACTTTGAGCGCTTTGAGCGACCTCTAAATATTTTTTGATCTCAAAATAAAAAATAGGGGTATAACGTTTTTCGGTATAGAACAATCCTAGGGGGTGAGATCATTAAAATTCCGACGTACCCTTTTTGGACCACCCTAGTGTTAGTCTGTGTTCTTACACGATATGTATTTCCATGTTTGTACATTAGGGTGGTCCAAAAATGCACGTGAAAAGTAAAGTCGGAATTTTTATGCTCTCACCCCCTAGCATTGTTCTATACCGAAAAAAATATACCCGTTTTTTTATTTTGAAATCAAGAAATATTTAGAGGTCGCTCAAAGCGCCCAAAGTTTTCCATGTATTTTATATGGGGGAAAAAACAACTTTTCATAGAAATGGTATAGAATTCTTAAAAAGCAATATTTTTCTATCGGAAAGAGTGAAGAGCAACAGTCGAATTGCATTTTTTCTTCGTACTGCTGTCGCTTTACTGCCGCGCTGGTACTATCTCGGCAGCAAATCGACAGTCCAGCTTCGTTTTTTTGTTCCCAGCCAGCAAAGAAACGTAAATTTTGCCGACAGTGCAGTTTAGTTAAATTTTCCGTATCCGAAAACGCATAGAAAAAACTCCTACAGAAGGTGCCGGGTTCGAATTCCGTCAGGCTCTTCCTAATTTTATTTTATTTCTTTTGAACCATGAAAAAGTATCTGTGAAGTGCAGAAGGAAAGTCTATTGAACGAAAAATTCAATCAGACAAATTTCAGAAAAAACAGCCGAAAACGTATCTGTTTCACAAACAATTTTTGTTTCTGCCGTACACTTTAGTGGGAAAACGGATCGTCAGAGTATCCGAAAATTGAATCAGTAAACGGACAAAAATTCGCACTTCATCCACTTTTTTGTCCATTTTCGGATCGGTTTTCGGATTTTTGGCTGGCTGGGTTTTTACTTTCGCTTTGCTGTTGGTTTTGTAAATTCTCACAGCCACAGCAAAGTCGAAGGAAATGAAATAAAAAAATGAAAGCACTTTCAAACGCTGGTTTTATGTCTTTTGGTGACTTTTCGGTGATCTCAGCAAAATCGCATTTTAAGGTCAAAACTTTATACAGCATGCTATTTTTGTATTTTTTTTTTCGGCCATTGTTAGAAATTTTTTTTCGATATTAAGTAGGAATGATTTGGAAAAAAGTAGAAAAAAATAGTTGTACAGAGTTGTGCAGATAGAAACTGTCATATTTAGAACATATAGGGCCACAGCTATGATATATATAAAATGTAGACTGGGGACAGGTAGGGAAATACTACTTTCACACTAATAAATGCAAATAGTTGCAAAAAAATTTCGAAATTCGAGATTTTGACATTTCTTCTTCACTAATAAATATTAGTTGCGTTCCCTTACTCGCAAGAAGTTGCAAGAATTTACCAGAAAGCGTTCCCGTACTCGGTTCTCTAGCTTCTTTTGTTTTTTGACAGTTTTACAGGTTTTATCCCAGAAAATTTGGGGAACGCAACTAGTGATAAATACAATCAGCCCGATTCTGAATAGAAGCTCCCTAGGAATTTTTCCTCATTTCTCTTTCCTCCTATCATGAATGAAAATTCCCTGAGGATTTTTCCTCTTTTCCCTATTCTCCTATTCTAAACGACCTTCCAAGAAGGGAAAATGTATTTCGGGAAAAAAGTAGGTATTACGAATGTCAAAAAGGAGGAGAATTGATTTCGTTTTTCTGGGAGAATTTTCACCGGTATTTTAAAAGGGAACTGCTACAAAAATGTAAGTTAATTACAATTAAAATGAAATTTGGTGTAATAAAACGTTTAAACCTTTCATTTTAGGTCCAAAACAACAAATGAGAAACAGGTAGAAATCTTAATAAGCCAGGTTATTTTGGTTTATTACATGAAAACGCGCGATTGAAATCAAAATATTTCAACTCACGTGTGTAGTTAAAAGACAAAATTTTAATTTAGCACTAATATTTAAATATCCGGAGCACTAGTTTATTAAGAATGCGGCTTCCAAAATTCACAGTGGCAACTGGACCTAGCAAAGGGTACCCTTTGGTATTTGCACACTTATTTTGGTTTATTACATGGAAACGCACGATTGAAATCAAAATATTTCAACTCACATGTGTAGTTAAAAGAGCACTAGTTTATTAATAATGTGGCTTCCAAAACTCATAGTGGCAACTGGACACGCGAGCTAAATTAAAATCTTTCAACTTACCCGTGTAGTTAAAGTTAGTTGAGCTTTAATTTAAAACACAGATTTGAAATTTCCGCGCACTAATTTATTTACAACTTTAATCTGAAATACTCTTTTATGTGAAACACACTTTTATGTGTAAAACACGCAAATTAAATGGCGGGAGTTGAGCTGTCAAAAAACTGTCAAACAGCTCTTCGAAAGTTCGAATTTCCAACTCACAAATTTTCTGGAGAAAATGCTGCTCCCTGGCAGTTTCGAGTACAAGGCTTTTATTCTCGAGAAAAGTGAAATCCGCGAGAAATGAAATCCTCGGGAATATTCAGAATTGGGCTGAATATGATATAGAAAATGAATGGTACTTACCTTTGGCTTGCAAATCCATCCCAAAGGTAAAGTAAACATACCTCTATAAAAAATGGCATGCAAAATAGCAATAAGTTCACATCATGAAATTAAACAACACGCGTGAGCGTTTTTCTTACAATAATAATTAATTATTTATCCTTGAACAATAATCATGCAAAAATTTTATCTAATTCATTAGAATGAGAATATTGGATGTCATTTTCAATATCTATAATACAAAAATCCAATGTCGACTATTGTCGACCAACCAACTAGAATTCCGAAAAAAAATTGAAATAAGTTATTGGTTTTCATCCAGGAACGAAAATATACCAATTATTAAATAAGAACCCGTAAATGTTTGTTTTGTTACACAAATTAATGCATGAGATTTTTATTTTTTTCAAAAATTCGTTTCACCATTCTTTCTCACTTACTATATGTTTGTATATGTATGAATATAATTAGTACAATACATTACTCCTGTTCAGTTTGAAAGGATGATAACCACATTCAATACATACATACATGCGTACTTACATATACATATGTATACTAGGTATTTATAAATATTTTAATGGCATTTATAATGCATTTACGAGTATGTTTAGTCTAGAAAACAAATACATGTATGCATTACATAAAAGTATAAGTATTTAAATATAAGTATAATTTTTGCAGAGGTTTAAACTATGCCACTTTATTATTTAGTAAATGTATACTTTCGTAAATTTTGTTATACATATGAGTATAGATACTCGTAAGTATGTAGTTCTTTCAAATAAAGTGTAACTTTTTTTAAAATAAAAAATAGTCCAGGGTTCTATCATAAATTGATACTTATTCTAATACGATTACAACTACAGCTCAGTGTTATATGACTTTAATGTATAAACCTAAAATACTATTTACACTTGGTGCTCTTATCCAGCAATTTCTTCCAAAGATCAAATTGTTCATTTGACTTGACCATATGTACACTGATTAATTTGCGTATATTGCATGGATTGAAAGCAATTCGCCGATTAAGGAACTCATTGGCATGTACGCGCTTGATGCCAAGCTGTTGCGCAACAATCCCTGTAGTAAAGACGTCCTCCAATTTCAAGTAGACCTGCAGGAAAAGAAAAATATGAACAAAAATGCTTTTTTAAGTCAAAAAATCCAACGCCACGCACCTGATGAAGACATTTTTCATACAACATATGTATGACATCACTTGTTAAGAGATACGCTGGACCGGTGGTGAATGGGGGAAATAGTGGCTGACTGAATTGATCAGTTGACACGTAGTATTTTGATTTTTTATTCCTTATGGGTTTCCATTGCTTCGCCAAGCGTCCGTATATGACACGCTTGTTTTTAGAATGGCCATCTATGAATTGTAGTAGCTTCGGCACATTAATGAACATATCGTCATCCGTTTTCAATATAAATTTGGCATGCTGACAGTGCAGATCAACCCACTCTAATGTGGAAATGGTTTTCAGTGTTAAATTGGTATACGAGTCGATAAAGTTGCCACGAATCACATCACCATAAATGAAATTCTCAATGCTCAGTTCCTTGCTTACGCTCTCATTTGTCGTACGGCCCAAGACAAACGCTATGGATACATCCCGACGAGTACCATAGTGTGCCCAGGTCTGTCGTATGGCAAGACGTGCTTCTGCGTGATTTACCGCGGACGAGATAAGTATCAGCAGCTTTAAATCGTCACCTTGATTTGGACAAATCTTTGCAAAATTTATTTCCTCATTCAAGTGTCCCGACTCATATATTTCACTCGTAGGTATACCTTTGGTGTGGTCGGTATTGTTGCGTGGTACGGGATGGCTGGCAGGTTGCACTTTGGGTATTGCCTTAGGTTTATTTATGGTCACTTTTGTTTCTACTTTTTTCACCACTCGATTTTCATTTGAATGTTGTTGTACAGCACTGGCACTTCCAGGACGTTTAATAGTCATCACTACGGATGGAGGCAGTGCACCATCGTCGTTCGCTTCTTCCTCATCGGTACCAATGTCCTCTACCTTCGCGGCCTTAACAATAGTATTTTCTTCAGTTAACTGCTTGCTGCCTTTCGAATCCTTAGAAGACACTGCGATTTAAAATAAAATTTGTTTAAATATTTTGGACTTAAGAATATTTAAAATAAACACAAACTCACGTTTTTCATTTGCCGTTGGCAATGCTGTGATGTTTCTTAATATTTTATCTGCATTTTCGATGAATTTTTGTAAATTAGATGTAGGTACCATTACATCAGAGTCCAATATTTTATTCAGATTGTTAACGTTATCACTGGATTTGCCGTTAGTTAATTTCAGTTGGTCTAGTTGCACTTGTGACTGTGATTTTAAAGGATCCTGCTGAGCGCCGTTATTTGCGCTTGAAGCATTGGGATAGCTTATGCTGCCGACAACTGAAATTGAAAAGATACATATGTACATATGTATACATTAGTAAATACGTACCTAATTACTGAAAGTATTGAGACAAATGTTTAAAAAATTCTATACAAATTTTAAAATAAAAAATTAAATTAAATTTCGGCGCCTACAACTTTGTTAAGTGCATGGCCGAGCTTCTTTTCCAACTTTTTTTGTGTGCATACTGATCTTATGACCTACAATGTTATGCCACCTACGAACGGCAATTGGTCTTATGAGAAGCTTTTTCAAGGCAGAAATACACTCGGAGGTGCGCCATTGCCAGCCGAGGACTGACGAGTGGTAGTAGGTCGAGCGTTTGTTTTAAAAAATCGTACGAAAGTTTACTGAGTTATTAAACTTTTGATGAAAACAAATTTTTTTCAAAAATATTATTTATGGCAATACAACTCAACAATTTTTGCTTGATAGTTCTTTTTTTAATTTGCCGTTTTCTATGATCTCAAAGTATGGCCATCTCGAGAGCCGCATTAAATAGGCAGGCAAACGTTTTAAAAGTCCCATTGGTTAAAGCTGAAAATGTTGCCCTACCACCACTGCATTTAAAGCTAGGATATATGAAACTATAGGGGTATTCTCACAGTCTTGCAAAGCCCTTGCACGGTGCACGAATTGCACGATTTGCAAAGCTGTCCCATAGGAAACCCGGTTTTTTTTTGTGCAATCCATGCACCGATCCCAAAATTAAGTGAAGCCAAAATAAAATGAGGTTTCTAATTTTTTATTCTCTCATCTAGTACTTTTTCATCTGTTTTATCTCTTTTATGAATTTTAGGTATTTTCATAGGACCTCAAATTCGTAAAATTATGAGCGTGTTCAAAAAGCTCATAAGCTCTGTAGAAAAACGTGCATGGAAGTGTTTTGTAGCCCTATCCAATAATTTCTTAGGAAACCACAGAAGCGACGACTATGTCACGGTTGTTAACGAATTTTTGAATGCTTACGGTGGAATGGGTTTTAACATGTCCATAAAAATGCATTTCCTTTATTCGCATTTGGACTTATTCCCACATAATTTGAGCCAGTTCAGTGATGAACAAGGCGAACACTTTCACCAAGAAATAGCTACAATTAAAAAACGCTGCGGTGGGAAAAATAAAATAATAATAATAGCTCCATTCTTCTGCAGCCGAGCTACAAAAGAACACCCGTTTAAATGACGAAATACACGCAAAGCAACAACACAAACTCGGCTATTTATACGAGTTCAGCCAGGTCGGTTAAAACATTCGCGACCTGAAGGTAGTGTTGTTAAGTGAAAAAACTGCTCTATTGTGAATTGTTAATGGTAAAGTGGAGAGGGTAATTTTTGCTTTCGTATATACATGATTTATATTTTAAATAAGTATATATATTACGCAAATACCTCGCATAATTACAAATTTCTATTGTTTTTACCTTCCTTTTATTAACTCGGGATGTAACTATGTAATATTCATGCGCCTAAAAGATGCAGCGATTCCTATTCTTAAACTATAATTTTATTTATTTGTGTCTAAATCCCGATGAACTAACACATGTTTCTTGCCAGCTACCAGCAGGGTTGCTTGAAGGAAATTTTACCCGAGTTGAGCGTTCTTTTGTCGCTCACTTACAAAAATATGCAGCTAATAATAAGGCCAAGTTTGGGGGAAATTGGTGGAGCGGTTACCGAGATATACAGATGTAATCACAAGTGGGCGTGGCTACGCCTATTTTCCAAACATTTATAATATTCTTATTTTTCGTCTAAAACTTATTGTANTATGCAGCTAATAATAAGGCCAAGTTTGGGGGAAATTGGTGGAGCGGTTACCGAGATATACAGATGTAATCACAAGTGGGCGTGGCTACGCCTATTTTCCAAACATTTATAATATTCTTATTTTTCGTCTAAAACTTATTGTAATTATCAATTTTGAGTGAGTTACTAAAATATCGCAGTATCGTATTTCTGAAAACTACCGTTATATGTGAGGTAGGCGTGGTTATTGTCCGATTTTGCCCTTTTTCAATACCGTCCGTCCTACGCTGAAAAGAAGTACACATACCAAGTCTCGTTAAGATATCTCAATTTTTAATCGAGTTATCGTGTGCACAGACGGACGGACGGACAGACAGACACCGCTTAATCGATTCCTTTTTAGCGCCCTTTTATTAGCTCGGGATGTAACTATGTAATNTAATTTTTGCTTTCGTATATACATGATTTATATTTTAAATAAGTATATATATTACGCAAATACCTCGCATAATTACAAATTTCTATTGTTTTTACCTTCCTTTTATTAACTCGGGATGTAACTATGTAATATTCATGCGCCTAAAAGATGCAGCGATTCCTATTCTTAAACTATAATTTTATTTATTTGTGTCTAAATCCCGATGAACTAACACATGTTTCTTGCCAGCTACCAGCAGGGTTGCTTGAAGGAAATTTTACCCGAGTTGAGCGTTCTTTTGTCGCTCACTTACAAAAATATGCAGCTAATAATAAGGCCAAGTTTGGGGGAAATTGGTGGAGCGGTTACCGAGATATACAGATGTAATCACAAGTGGGCGTGGCTACGCCTATTTTCCAAACATTTATAATATTCTTATTTTTCGTCTAAAACTTATTGTAATTATCAATTTTGAGTGAGTTACTAAAATATCGCAGTATCGTATTTCTGAAAACTACCGTTATATGTGAGGTAGGCGTGGTTATTGTCCGATTTTGCCCTTTTTCAATACCGTCCGTCCTACGCTGAAAAGAAGTACACATACCAAGTCTCGTTAAGATATCTCAATTTTTAATCGAGTTATCGTGTGCACAGACGGACGGACGGACAGACAGACACCGCTTAATCGATTCCTTTTTAGCGCCCTTTTATTAGCTCGGGATGTAACTATGTAATATTGATGCGCCTAAAAGATGCAGCGATTTATAGTCTCAAGTTACATACCTGATGACAGTACGAATGGAAATTATAATAGCGAGGTTTTAGTTTTTTAAACTAAAATTTTTTTTTTCATTATGATCATTTATGTATACATTTGTCTATACCTATCTCGATTCGTTTTGGCTGTTACAAACAACCGTTATGTGAACAAAGTGCACAATAACACCTGGGTATAAAAATGATTTCAGAAAATTCTAGAACGAGAAACTGATGACGCTGAATTAAGAAAAAGACAGTCAAGAAAACATTTTTGAGTAGTATAGTCAAAAATAATATTTTTGCAAAAATTTCGTTTTCATAAAAAGTTTTATAACTCAGTAAACTTTCATCCGATTTTTGAAAATAAACAGTAGTTTTCCTCGTTATTAAATTTGGTTTTACAATCAGTTTAGGACTAGTATGGTTTTCTTATAACATAGTTCGTAAAAACCTCAACGAAATTTAAAAAAGGCGAAAAAAGTAAAAAAAATGTGTTTGCTGGGTAAATACTAAAGATCTGCATCGGAATGCAGTTTGCTTCCTTGGGAACTTTTCTTCAAATATTTAAACTACTCATACTCTAACAAAAAGGGTATGGAAGGAAGAGAAGTGAAGATATAGAGCGCTGTATACATAAAAAAAGTACTCAAACAAATTATGTTCCGAAAAAAAGAGGAACATAAATCAGCAGTACCATGCTGTCAAACTTCCACAAAAAAAGATGTTCCTTCACAAGTATTTTTTGAGTATTTTTGGAAGTTTTCGTTCAATGCTACATAATGTTAGAGCTGACTCTTATGTTAAACTAGCAAATGCCCGCTTGCTTCGCGGCGCCTAATAAGATCTTTTGCGTTAGCCAATTCAAAAATAGCGTTTAGAAGCAAAAGCAGTCTGTAAAGTAAACATTTTTAGTTTAAATTGAAACGACTAAAAAACGGAATCCTCCTCACGCATATACCAAGAATAGTAGCGTTGTGATTCCATACTGCATACTAATCCCTTTCCATGTAATGCGTTTTACCTATGGTCTTATTTCCACCTACGAGATCTCTGCCAAGCGTGCGTAATATTCTTCTATGATCCTGCAACTTCAGCATTGGTCCAGTCCTTATACGGAAACTCAAGAGCACAGATGAGCGTTTTCAATTATAGGAGGGCCAAGAATCCTCAGGATGAAAAGTTAAATGAGTACTGTGATCTCATGAATATCGTTCAAATAAAGCCATTCATATAACTATCGTGTTCCTTCTTGGACAGATGTGGTCGAATCTTTCCTTGTCAATTCGCCACTGTTACAATAACGGCCGCCTCGAGCAACTTCGTCAATCTGATTTAGATGCAAAATCACGCTTACACAGTCTTACGGTCTTTATATGCATACTTAAACGCATCCTTGATTTAGCCAACTGAAAAGTAAATTCGCCTAAGATAAACATAGCGCCAAAGCAGAACAAACCCCGCGGGGGTTTCTATATATTTCGGGTGCAGCGTCATCCATCGGGTCCCTTTTCTGCAAAACCTTTGCTTGTCATGAAATGAATACGAATTATGAATTCCAATCAGATTTTATAAAAAATACGGATTTTCTAAATACTTAAACTCCAGCGGTCCATTTTTAGCAAAGGAGTTTTTCATCATACAGGTAGTCACGCTGCGAATTTGAACGAAATCTGTTAATAAATACGACTTTTATAAGTAACTCCACTCAAGCGCCACCAGCGTGTTTTCTAGTAGCCTATAATAGGACAATATATGTAAGGTATAACCTCAGACAATTTGACTGGGCTCTATTGAGTGGTTTTTGAGTTTAGTCCGAAAAACAGAAATGGCTATCATTTTATGTATGTAATCTTCCTTATCCTGAGTTTCGCCGGAAAAAAAATTCACGCGAAAATTTTGATTACCCCCATAGTAAGTACATGGAAACCAAAAGCGAAAACTGAACCGGTTCAGGGAAGATGAGACTCATGATAGGGCTGAATATGTTTCGAATGAAAAAAAAAACATCATGAAAGTAAAAAACGTCTCGAATGTGTATTAACAAAATAGGTTCATAAATACGGCTTTTATA